TCATCTTTAACTGACAGCTCGAATTAGGGTTTGGCGTGTGATCCAATGCCTTCACACCTACAAGGCAGGTGAATGCCACTTATGCAGTCTTGACAGCAGCAATCACTTTGCTCCCTCCCTTCTTTTCTCAGCTTGAGTCTTCCTCAAAGTCTAGTTAAGCTGCCATAAAATAAAGCAGATTTGAGGAGAAAGGGGAATACAGGGGCATTCTTCCCCTCCCCCCCTCGATTCTATTAACGCCCCCTACCCTGGGTCAAATACACACTTATGCCATATTTTCAATTTAAATCAGCAGTTTTTTGCCAAAGAAAAATGAACACAAATACCTTCTTCAGATTTAATTGTCGAATTTGTTGTTTATTTATTTTTGTCATGCCATAAAATGCGGTGGGGAGGGGGAAGGTGGGTGATCTGATATGCATGTCCAGTGACACTGTTGCCAAATTTGCGCATTTGGCAAGTTTGCGAAATTGGAGACATTTTTGTAATTTCTTCGTGAGTTTTTGGTTTTTTTTTTGGACTTTTCTTTTCGTGTTGGGTACATTTGGTAGAAACGTGAGAAGGTACACGACCTACACAGGTTCCATATAGGTGGTGGGAATTTCTAATAATTTTTGTTTGGTTCTTACTACCTGATGCTAAGTGGATATTTGGAAGGAAAATCAAGAAGATGACGGCGAGGAAAAAAAAAATATTTGCTCTCTCTATCCCAAATGGCGATCATTTGTTGATCAGCATTCAACGGATCCACATATTTGCTGACGAATTCCCCCTCGAGACAAGTGGTTATATAAGAGACGCGGCATTCAGAGATGTCTGCTAGACCTACACACTCAAAGAGGCCCTTCCATCGAGGCAGAACAGTGACTCATCAGTCTTACCTTGTTGTTGATATGATCGAGAAGTGAGGTGAGATTTGATGAGTGGATCGTTCGGGAATGGCAGAGAGATGGCAGGAGCCATTCCTCATCACAGGTCAATGACCCAGACCTTCAGACGGGCAGTCAGCCAGTCGGTTAGCAAACAGGCAAAAAGTGAAAATAGGGAAAGAACTAGTTAGTTGGTAGTGTAAGATGACACCCACTTAAAAACATCGTTAACAGGTGTGAAGGCGTTGGATCACACGCCAAACCCTAATTCGAGCTGTCAGTTAAAGATGG